AAAGGGGGTTATTTCCACCCCCGAGTGGGATGAGGCATCCACAGGTCGATGCGGCTGGAACGGGTATAGAAAGCATATGTACGACAACCGCCCGAATTTCTTGCCCATTCTGAGCAGGATTTGCTGTCGGTGTCGCTACGGACACTGTCCACTCGAGACAGAGTCAAGGTCGTCCGCTCGACAGCGGCCGCTGTCGGTCTGGGACAACCTGTTTGGTGTTGGGCATCCTGCACGTTTTTCCACGTGTCCAACTGGGACGTCCAGCTGCACAGTCAAGACGCTAAGCAGGACGGGGCTCTGCTTCAGGAAGAGAGAGGAGGGAGGGAGGAGGGGGAGAGGATGGGCGAGGAGGAGGAGGAGGTAGGTAGGATAGGTAGGGGGGAGGGGGAGGGGGAGGGGGAGGGGAGGGGGAGGGGGAGGTGGAGGGGGGGAGGAGGGCGAGGAGGAGGGAGTCAAGAGGAGGAGGCGGAGGCGGGAGGAGGAGTGAGAGGAGGAGGAGGAGAGGAAGGAGGGAGGAGGAGTGTGATCGAGGTCTCGGTCGCCCCTGGCTTCGGGTCCCCTGGCAGGGATCCTCTTCTGCTTCAGGACGGGGCTCTGGCTTCCGGGCCGAGCTGCTCCGAGCCAGGTCGGGGAGCCTGTTTCGTGGCCGAGGTTCACCGTGGCTCCCGTATTCAGCATGGAGGGTTTCTCCAAAGGGCTTGGGCGACCCGTCCTCTTCCTCCACCTCCACCTCCTCCTCCTCCTCCTCCGCCCTCCTCTCCTCCTCCTCCTCCTCTCCTCCTCCTCCTCCTCCTCCTCTCCCTCTCTCCTCCTCCTCCTCCTCCTCCTCACTCCTCCTCCTCTCCTCCTCCGGCTCCTCCCTCCTCCTCCTCCTCCTCCTCCTCTCCTTCTCCTCCTCCTCCTCCTCCTCCTCCTCCTCTCCCTCCTCTACCCTCCTCCTCTTCCTCCTCCTCCTCCTCCTCCTCCCATTCCTCCTCCTCCTACCTCCTCCCACCCCTCCTCCTCCTCTCCTCCTCCTCCTCCTCTCCTCCGTCCTCCTCCTCCTCCTCCTCCTCCTCCTCCTCCTCCTCCTCCTCCTCCTCCTCCGCCTCCTCCTCCTCCTCCTCCTCCTCCTCCTCCTCCTCCTCCTCCTCTCCTCCTCCCCCCCTCCTCCTCTCCCTCCTCCTCCTCATCCTCGCTCCTCCTCCGCCTCCTCCTCCATCTACAATTACTCGAAATGAATACTAGCTTCTCCGCCGTTCCCTGATGAAGTGGGGGTTGGGAGTGTTCGCCCCCCCCCCCCCCCCCGCGTACTGTTTTCTACACAGGATTCCCCGGAGTTGGGTTGTCGCCTGCATTTGTTTTGAAATGCTGCTCTCGCTGAGGCGCCGGCCTCATTTTCGGGCCCCGCTCGTTCCGAATCGTGCTCCCGCTGCAGCGCTGGCCTCATTTCCGTGCTTCCGCTCGTTCCGAATCTTGCTCCCGCTGCAGCGCTGGCCTCATTGCCGCGCTTCCGCTCGTTCCGAATTGTGCTCCCGCTGCAGCGCTGACGTCATTTCCCGTGCCATGCCACGGCATGCAATGCAATGCTAGGTTGCGTTCCGCTTCGCGATGCCATGCCTTCAGCTGAAGCTGTGATATGCAGTGGTTAAGTGCCACGTCGTGCTATGCCATGCTACGCTTTGATATTCAACGCCATGCTATGCAATGTTCTGTTCGGGGCCGCTGTGCGATGCTATGCTTTGCGTTGCAAAGCTTTGTGATGCAATTCTTCACTACGCCACGCCACGCCATGCTGTGACATACTACGCTTTGCGGTGCTCTTCCACGCCATGCCATGCCGTGCTCTACAATTCATCGCGTACCCTTTCGGGATCATTGCCCTGCTCGACATCCGACTGTGCGAGTAGAGAGGGGATCTACGCCATGGTAAGGGATGGGAGGGAGGGGTAGGATGTCCGATATGACGCGAGCGCACCTAGCTTGCCTGCTCCCCCTCCCCCTCCCCCTCCTCCTCCTCCGCCTCCTCCTCCTCCTCCTCCTCCTCCTCCTCATCATCATCATCGAGTCGCCTACGGCCCCGGGGGGAAACCGTGCAATTCAGCATTCCTGCTGGTAGCACGATGATTGCGCCCAAGGAGCAAACGCGTGCACATGCATAGACGTTTGGAGGCCCGCGCGAATTTGGTGGGTCCCGCAGTGGCGGCGCCTGCGGCGCCGCCCTGATGCGCGACAGCTGGGTTCACCGCCGACCGAAGCCATCCGCGCGGACCTCCGAATCTCGTTGTTCTCTTCTCTCTCTCTCTCTCTGTGTTTGTTTGTTGGTTTCTCTTTCTCTGTTTTTTGTTGTTCTCTCTCTCTCTCTCTCCCTTTCTCAGCCGATATATGTTTGCTTATTTCTGCAGTCCGGTATTCCCAATGGCACGATCGCGACTCTCGTCATGATAGTTCGTCTGTTCCGTAGCCATCGTTCAACACAATTCTTCACGCTTCGCGTATCCCCACGATCTTTCTTTGGTCCTGGCGGTATTTTAGGCCTTCGTGCGATTCTACGACGCCGCGCGGCTCTCCCGCTGGCGGTTGCGAACAAAAACGTATCCCCACGATCCCGTTCAGAAACCCTGCCCATGAGAGCTGACGGGAAAAGGGACGGAGAGACACATGCAGTGAAGCGACGCGGGCAACCATGATGAACAAGGAGATATCTGAGAGCGAGGGGGGCGGCCTTGGAGTGCCTCATCGCGTCATCCCTGGGGCCCGCGGGGCGGGCGAGGGGAGGTGGAGGAGGAGGAGGAGGAGGATGATGATGATGAGGAGGAGGAGGAGGAACAGGAACAGGAGGAGGAGGAGGAGGAGGAGGAGGAGGAGGAGGAGGAGGGAGAAAGGAGTGGAAGGAAGGATGAGTAAGGAGGAGGAAGTAGGAGGAGGAGGATAGGTGAAGAGAGGGCGGAGGACGAAGCGGAAGAGCAACAGCGCAAAAGCAGCAGGAGGAGGAGGAGGAGGAGGATTTAGGAGGTAGAAGGAGGAGGCGGAGAGAGGAGGAGGAGTGGAGTGAGGAGAGGCTGGCGCGGAGCTGCGGATTGTGCGTATGAGGAGGAGAGGGAGGAGATGGGCGGAGGAGAGGGAGGAGGAGGAGATGCACTACTGCCTCTAGGGCCCCGGCCCTCAAAAAAAAAGTCACCTCAAGACAAAAAACAAAGAGAAACAGAAGGCACCCTCTTTGAGTAGCGACCCTCTTGGGCCGTGTATTGGGTCCTCCTGGGGCCTTCTTGGGGCTTTTTCCTTCCGCTTCTCCCTCGGTTCCCCTCGGGCCTCGTCCCCCCTCCTTCTTTCGGGTCCTCCCAGGGCCTTCTTTGAGTTCTGGAGGAGGGCCTTTTGGGGCCAGCTTGTAGGGCTTCGATCAAAGGACGGGGGAGGTCCTCGATTTCCCTCTTCCCCTTCGGGGAGGAAGGAAAAGGAGGAGGAGGAGGAGGAGGAGGAGGAGGAGGAGGAGGAGGAGGAGGAGGAAGAGGGGGAGGTGGAGGGGGAGGAAGACGAGGAGGCACGCCGCCTCTTGGGGCTCTCCTGGGGCGCTCTCGGGCGCTCTTGAGGCCGTCTGGGGGGGCCTCCGTGGGCCCTCTTGGGGCCATCTTGGGCCATTTTAGGGCAGTGTCAAGGGCGCCCACGAGGGCGCGAAGTTATTCGCGCTTCGCGCTTCGCGGTTCGGCTCCGATTCCTCCTCGTCCTCCTCTTCTTCCCTGGGAGGCGGCGCGAGAGCGCGAAGCTGTTCACACTCCGCGCTCCGCGCAGCGCGAAGCGCGAAGCTGGGAGCCCCTGGAGATGGAGGCCCCCAGGGCGCAGCGGAAGCGAAAACAGACGAGGAGGAGGTTGGCCTCCCGGGAGGGTCCTGCCGGGGGCTCCGGGGAGCACCCGGAGCCGCCCTGCGGCCTTCCTGGAGGCGTGCCGGAGGCTATCGTGAGCCATCTTCGGCTTCCGGAGGAGGAGGAGGAGGAGGAGGAGGAGGGGTAGAGGTGTAGAGGAGGTGTGAGGGGGGTTGGGTCAGGGCAGGAGGGAGGAGCAGAGGAGTGAGGAGGAGGAGGAGGATGAGAGGAGGAGGAGGAGGAGGAGGAGGGAAGGAGTAAGGAGGAGGAGGAGGAGGAGGAGGAGGAGGAAGGAAAGGCGGGGAACCTTTGCCCGACACAGGAGCGTGAGCCCCCGAGCCGCCTCGGAGGCCATTTGGGAGCATCGGGAGTCCTCTTGGAGTCATCTTGGGCCATCCCAGGCGCCCCGACCGGTCGCGGCAAGCCCAGAAAAAACAAGACCACCCGGGAGGGGGAAGGGGGAGGGTGCCTCTCCCCGAAGGGAAGAGGGGTTTGGAAGGGGGAATCATGAATTCGTTAGGCCACCTTCGCCCAAAGGGCTGGTGGGTTATCTCTTGACGCCTCGTGTGTGCCCACCAGGCCAGCAAGAAACGACACTCACGCGAGCTTCTTGGATCATGGAATATCAGAAATATGTAAATCGTGAAACAGAGCGCTAGCAATAGTAAACTTTGAGATCTCTGGAAGCCTCCAACTTTGAGCTCTTTGAGGACCCTTATGGGAAACGGTTGTGTCCTCTTGGGGCTTTGGTTGTACCTTCTTGGGCCGTTCAGGCCGTCTTGGGTCATCCTGAAGCCCATTGAGAACATGGGCTGCGTGACTGAGCGCTTCCCCACCAGAGCTTGACATACCGCCTTTTGGAGCCATTTGTGGACGCTCTGGGGCGCTCTTGGGGCCGTCGTGGAGGCATGCTAGATGTCATCTTGAGCCGTCTTAGGCTATCTTGAGCCATCTTGGAACCCACTCTGAGCTGTCCGAGGCCCTCTTGCAGCCATCTCGAGCCATTTTGGACGCTTTCTCTTTGCTGCCCCCATTGAAACCCTGAAGGAGGTAAGTACATAGGGGGGAGGGGCGATCCCTCCCCGCAGGGGAAACATGAGGCGGTAATAGCAAACAGTCTAAGCCATGTTCGTCCACTGGGCTGGTGGACTTCCGCATGGTAGCGATTGGCTCAAGCCAGAGAGCCCAGCCCGCAGCGCAGCGGCTGAGGCCAAGGCGCTTGCTTGTGTGGACCCGCCAGGGTACCATGGCCCACCTAGTGGCACCGCGCAAGCACAGCAACCATGGCGAGGATTGCGGCGAGGACCGCCACGCTGGCCTCTCGTTCTGCGTCGAGGTCTGCACCGAGCTCTGCTACATCGTCGCGTCGCTGATGTTTGTGTCCGGGACCGTGTTCTTCTGGCCCGGCCTGGAGCTCCCCGCTCTTGCCCCGATCCTTCCCACGGATGCCACGGGACGCCCTTCGCCGCTCATCCTCGGCTGCCGCCTCTTCGATGTGGGCTCCATCATGTTTGCCGTGTTGTCGGTCCACGTCTCGAGGCAGCTCTCCAGGAAGTACAGGGAGATGCGGGCGGTGAAGATTCGGCGGGGCACGAAGGGCAACGGGCAGATAGTAAAAGTGCTCAGCAGCATGAGGGAAGTAAGGGATGCCTTCGAGCACTGCAGCAGCATAGCCACTCCAGGCCCAGACGTGATGCGCAGCATTCTGGGCAAGAAGGCTAAGGTGATCGCCGACAAGACAGCAGGACACCACATGTCCGACGATACCGTTCTTTGCCAATTCTTCAGGGGTGGAGTGTGGCGTGTTGGAGTTGGGTCGCTGCAGATGGTGCAGCAGGAGCAGCAGGATGGCAGTGGACGGTGTCTGGACCAGAGAGTGCGAGTACCCTTGAGTGCTCTCGTAAACACGGGGAAGGCGGGCCTGACAGTGGCAATGAACGAGCAGAGGCTGTACCTGGTGGGCTCCTTCGTCTTCATGTTTGGCACGCTCATCTGGGATCCCGAATTCAAGTACTACCTGGACCCGGAGAAGGACGAGCGGCATGAGCACAGCTGTTCGGAGGTTCGTGTGGCTCTCTTGGGGATCGGCGCCCGGCGTGGGACCCCCCGTTCCTGGCGGGCGGAGCGCGCCAGGAGCGGCGCCGGAGGCGCCGCCGGGGGGGTCCCACCGCCGATCCAAGAAGTCCACGAGGAGCTCCGAATGCTTCTGGTTATGGCCTCGCTCTTCTTCTAGCATCGGTGGTGCCCATGACTCCCGAGGGCTGGGTCATCACCGCTGACGTGCTCTTCATGCTGGGCTCCCTGATCTTCGCTTGCGCAGCCTACCTCAATGCCCTCGGCATCAACCGCGCTCACGAGGGGCCCTTTGCAAACTTCAAGGTCTTGCGCAAGTATGCGCTCATGACGACCACATGTTTCGCGTTCGGGGCCTTCACCTTCATTGCGGGGACCATGTGCTTCATTCCTGCCAAATACATCGCGACACCGACTGTGGCCGATCACGGTACTTGCACCGTCAGCATGGCGGCCATGGAGAAGTTGGGTTGTTGTTTTTACGGCGTCGGGTCACTGTTGTACTTGCTCGGCGCTTGCATTAGCTTCGCCAGGGCACTCGTAGAACATAAGATGGAAGTCGAGCATGAGGAAAGGGCCGCCTTGATCCAGCAGCACGTCAAGGAGTTCGTAGAGAAGAAGCACAGGAAGAAAGTGAGCGAATTCGCAGATACATCGTACAAGAAGAGAGTCGACCGACTCCCGGACAGCATCAAGGATATGGCTAAGCATTGCGTTTTGCGACAGAGGTGTAAGTTGCAGGAGATGGCGGAGGCAGAGGAGTGCGCAGAATTGGCGCCGCTGTTCTGGGGTCAGGCAGAGGACGACATGATGAGCGCTGCCGAGAGTCTGGAGGACGAGAAAGACATTTTCGGCACCATCAAGCTCATCCTGTGGGGGACTCCGGAGGGTGTGGAGGCAGAGTGCGATCGTCTTCAGGAACGCGGCTTCTGGACACTTGCCTGGAGCGGGGTCCGTGAGCGCGTGTATGGGAGGCCCAGGCAAGTTGTGGACGTGCGCCCTTGGCTGCCAAGCAAGGGAGCCCTTGCAGAGCCACTGACCGGAAGCAGATGAGCAGTGAGAAGTTCGCAAGGGTCGGCGACTACCAAAGGGCTTGGCATCGCTCGGACGTGTGCATTTTTCCTTCGGCGAGGACCATCGAGGAGCATCCTTGATCGTTTGGCGAAAAAATCCACGCACGGAACCGAACAAAAACACAGGGAATGGACGTCCGAGCGACGGCGAGAGGGTGTGGCTACGCCGAGGTGTGGTTGGCGATCGGCGCCGTTGGGGGGCT